ACTTTGGGTTTCAAGTTAAGGATACAAATCTCCTTCTTACTAGTAGCATAACCTAGCACAACTCACCTCACCTCTTAGGGTCTCAGTTTCCTCATCTGTAGAGCANACTTTGGGTTTCAAGTTAAGGATACAAATCTCCTTCTTACTAGTAGCATAACCTAGCACAAGTCACCTCACCTCTTAGGGTCTCAGTTTCCTCATCTGTAGAGCGGATGGATGTAGGTAAGGTTCCTTCCACCTTCAAACCCTATAATCTGACCTTCCTTTCCACATCCACTGTCTACATCCTTGTCCATGCTCTTTACCTAGTATGGCCATAGGGCCTTTGCCTGGCATAGGAAACTTGACCATATTAAAAAAAAATCAATATCATTAAAGACTCATTTTGTTTTAGCTCTAATTTGATTGAACTGTTCCAATGTACAATATGGTTTTGTTTGCCATTCAGGAGTTTTATCGGCGACACAGCATACATTCCCCTGGTCCTTTTTATGAAAGAATGTTTATACCTGTGGGCAAGTGCTAATGGTAGTGAAAGACTTGCATTCATGGGAACAGCACTTGGCCATTCATGGTTGCCAAGGTAAGCAGCAAAGGCATGCCCTCTGCCACTCCATCTCCTGGAAAAGAAACAGTCTCTAAGGGAACAGGCTAGCACCCCTTAAGGCCAAAAATCTTTAGATTTTTAGACTTATTTTTTAAGGAGAGAGAGAGAAAAAGAAAACATGAAATAATACTAAGAAGAGCATATTCTTTTTGTCCAGGCATTAAAAAAAAAACAAAGCAAAACAATAAAACGGGGCTTAGAATGTTCTATTTTTGGTTCTACACAGGAATTTAATTCAGGCCCAGCCCAATGCATTGTAAGCTAAATACTCCTTTCATAGTTTAATTTCAGGGGCACATGGGACTAATGAGCCAAGGCATGACTGCAGTTGGAGTCTATGGGCTCCCAGGCCTGTGATTGTTATGTAGTGAATAGGCAGTTTCTCTGATGAATTTGGAATTTTCTGCATTCCTAGGACACTTGTTTGCTGCATTATATCTTCCCCCCTAATCCCATCCCATCAGAATGGGAAAATGTCACCTGAAAAGAAACGGTTCTCTAAAGGCATTGACTATCATGCCTAACAAATGAGGAGAGAATTTTTCTCCTCTGAGACAAATTGAAGACAAGTGACTTGGCCAAGTTCAGGGATAGTTCAGGTGACTGTTGCATTCCACCCAAGGAGAGCTTAGATTGTGCTGTCAAAGGGGAATGCTGAAAGATATTGTACTTTTTTGTGGTACATAGTGAAAGCTTGATGTTTCATGCACGAGATATTAGGAGCTGGCTCAACAGATCCACCAGGAACAGAGAAATAGTTTTTGCTTCAAAATTTTGGCATGGTCTCAAACTCAAAGAGTATAATGGCTTCTGAGACAGAATCATAGCATCTCAGAGTATGCATTTGATTGATGCTATTATATGGGAAGAGAATGGCTTTTTTTCCAAGATAAAATTGAAGTGATCCATGTTCAGAATTTAACTTAATTACTATGGAAGTGTCAGTGACTTGAAAATCATTCCATACCTGGTCTTATTCAAATCCTCTGAGAGAAGTGTGTTTCTAGTCAAACCTAGACCTCCCTTGTCTATTATATTAGATCAAATAATATTATAATAAGAGGAAGATTTAGGGCTTATCTAGGCCTTGCTTTTGTGGAGCATAATCCTTTCTATAGTATCCCTGGAAAGTGGTCATACAACTTTTGTTTGAAGATTTCTAGTGACAGGAATCTGTAAGATAGCCCAATCTACTTTTGCATAGCACTTTCCTTAGACTGAGTCAGATTCCATTTTTTTTCAATTCCTCTTGCCATCTCTCACCCCACCTTACCTCCTACTTCTCACAAACCATGGTTCTGGTCCTGCCTTGTGAGGCTAAGAAGAATAAATATATAAATGTTCTTCTGCATAATAGCCATAAGAGTATGTGATCTTCTCTTCTCCAGGTTAAATCCTTTAGGTGCTTTCAACTGATCATTGTATGGCATGGTTTCTAGTTATCTTTATCCTTCATAGTTCATTAACTTCCTTCCTAAAATATGGTATTCAAAACTGGACACAGGACTCTAGATGGTGATCTGAAAAGAGCAAAATTCATCACAACTAACAATTTACTCTTTTGGGACACTAAATAATCTATTAATACTATCTAAGAACTTATTAGCTTTGTGGTACCATGTGACAATGTTATTTCATATGAATTCAATTCAACAAATTTAATTCAGTTAACAATTATTGAGTGCTAATGGGGTACAAGTTGGGCAGCTATAGAGCACCAGGCCTGGAGTCAGGAGGACCTGAGTTCAAATCTGGCCTCAGACACTTACTAGCTGTGTGACCCTAGGCAAGTCTTTTAACCCTGTTTGCCTCAGTTTCCTTATCTGTAAAATGAACTAGAGAAGGAAATGGCAAACCACTCCAGTATCTTTGCCAAGAAAGCCCCAAATGGGGTCAGAGAGAGTCGGACATGATTGAGATGACTCAATGACAACAAAATTGAGTGCAAAGAACTCTGCGTCTTTGGATGCAGAGGTAAAAATAATACAGTCTTTGTTCTTAAATAATTTACATTCTATTCATTGGAATTGGGGCAGGAAGGATGCTACACCACATACACAAATAAATGCAAAGTAATCTGAGGAGGGAATGAACATAAACCATGTAATGAAGTTGACTGTAGATGAATCTTAAAGGAACATCATGTAAGTAAGCATGTTCTAAATGACATCTATATTGCAAGTACTGTGCTAGGCCTTGGGGATAGAAAGAAAGGTAAAAAGACAGTTATCACTGAAGGATAAACTGAGATTGAGTTGGGGTTGAGAGTGGAGGGAGGGGCCAATTTATTCCAGGAATGAAAACTAGCATGAACCAAGGCACGGAGATCAGACATGACAAAATGATTTCATGAAAATTAAGAGGATTGTGATTGGTTTGAAATCGATCATAATTGCTTGAAATCATATTGGTTTGAAATAAGCAGACTTTCCCATCCAAATCTGGAATTCATAATCTATGTGTGGGCTTCTAATCAATGTTACTCTTCAGTTCATACTTATATATAATTTTTCCATAAAATGTATGTCATTTGCATGATGTGACCTATATTCTAAGGTAGCCAGAATTCAGACCAATTGTCAGTCAAATCAATCAATAAATATTTATTAAGCACCTATTGTGTGCTTGGCACTTGGAATGTAAAGAAAGACAAATCTTAGGCCTCATTCTCAAGGAGATCACATTCTAATGGGGGAGGATATATACAGAATAAATTGGAAAGAACCAACAGAGGGAAGGGAAGGAATTCAAATTAAGAGGGATCAGAAAAGGCTTCCTGTAGAAGGTGAGGTTTGAGCAGGGACTTGAAGTGAGGCAGCAAATTCAGGAGGTGGGGATGAAGGAGAACAGAGGGCACAGCAATGAAAATGCCTGCGGTATGGAGATGGGGTTTCTTGTTCGAGGAGGTCAGTGTCACTGGATTTCAGATTATGGGGGTAGGGGTAAAAGAATGGAAAGATGGATCTTTGGAGGGAGAGAGGTTTTGAATGATAAATAGAGGATTTTATATTTAATCTTGAGATGTTAAGGGAGCCACTGGAGTTTATTGAGTAAGGAGAGGCATGATACGGTTTCTTAACGCTTACATTTTTGGTTTGTAAATAGTACTTCTAAAGAGAAGGCTTTTACTTGCAATGTTAGTTCTCATTCAAAGTTAAACAGTTAATAAATAGACCTCTTATCACTGATTGCATATTTGTCAGTATAGGAGCGGAAGGAAAGCAGCAATACAGGCATAGTCAGAATGCTCAATAGTGAAGATGGCAGGGGTTAATTCTACCTGAGCCATGTCAGCTATGTGACCCTGGGCAAGTTACTTAACTCTGACAGGCTCAGTTATCTCATCTTTAAAATAATAATACTTTAAGCTTTTCAAAGAACTTTACATACATTATTGCATTTAATCCTCACACAAACTTTGGGAGATTCTATTATTGTTGCCATTTTACAGATGAGGGAACCAAGACTGAGGGAGGTTAAATGACTTAACACGGCTATACGGTTTTTAAGTGTGGAGATAATACACCCCAGAGTTGTGAGAAAAATACTTTGCAAGCTTTTAGGGCTAAAGAAATGTTACATAATATTATAATGACAAAGAATGGGGATAAATCATAGAAAGACTGGAAAATCTCTTAGGCCTAGCCTTTCAGGGACTTACAATTCATATATTTTATATATCTATATACATACACAAACGTATATGTATAACTGTAGATATAATCTATCACACATACACACATACATTTATGTATATGTACATGTATATATGTGTATATATGTATATACAGAGAAAGGAGATTCTTATATATTTTTAAATATATATGTGTATATGTGTATTGTGTATATATATGTGTATATATATATATATACACATATCTATACCTATCTATCTATCTATCCGCTGATACCATAACCAAAGGAGAGGACATAGAAAGGGAAGATTCTAATCTTCCTTTCTAATAGATTAATCTATGTATTAGATTAGAATCTTCATTCTCTAGGCCCTGGCATCAGCTTCCATATTTTCAATTATCATCTCTGTACATATGACTTTCAAATATAGCTATCCAAATGGATAATTTGCTAGATATTTCAACCCAGAAGTCCCATAGGTATCTCAAACTCAACATGACCAAAATGGAATTCATTGTCTTCCCATGCTTTTGCATAGACTGTCTCCTGTTCTCATCTCTATCTTGGAATCCCTCACTTCTTTCAAGGATCAGTTCATATGTCAGATCCTTTGCAAGGCATTTCACTATCACTCTGGTTATTCCAGTTTTTTCATCCTAATGCCTTGGTCATTGATTTTTGTGACTGTGAAGCATTCCTATTGCATGTTAGTAAAGCATCAAGTACTGTGAGAGATATCATAATAATGATTATTTGTCTACTTCTTCTCTTGAAGTGTTACTTCCACTAGTAGGCATGGGCTTTTTGTACTTGAGGGCACAATTCTTTTATGGTTTCTATTCTCATCTATATTATAATTCATTCAAAATAAATTTACCAGAGTTAGCAGGGTGTTGGAATAACTGTTCTTGATGAAGCCTTCAAATGAGAACTCACAAGAATGTTACTGCTCAAACCTAAAACTTCCAGACAAAAGAAAATAGATACTACAAGTAGTCAGAAGAAAGAATCAAAATGTCAAGGAACTACAATCAAAATTGCACAAGATTTAGGACCTATCACCTTAATGGAGTGGAACGCATGGAATGAGATATTTCAAAAGGTGAAAGATAAAAGTCTACAATGAAAATGACTTACCCAGCAAAACTGAGTATAATCCTATGAGGAAAAAAGTTGATCTTGAGTGAAATAGAAGACATTCACATAATCCTGAGGAAAATATCAGAGCTGAAAATAAACTTTAAAATAAAACTATTAGTCAAAACAGAAAATAAAAATGAACACAAGTGAACAATGAGGAAGGACTTTATAAGAATGAACTCTTTACTTTTCAATGAGGGTGGAATGTTGAAATGATTCTTTCAGAATCCTCATGTCACAAAAGTTAATAGAGGAAGTCAATCGAGCCAAAAACCTATTAATAGTTTTGTTTTGAAAATCTGATAAAAAAATAAAAGAGGGAGATGATAAACTGTGGGAAAATAGGAGCAAAAATGGGGGAACTTGTTAATACAAATAATTGGCTATAAAGAAAAACTATATACAAACATAGAAAAAAGGAGGAAACCATACATCTCTCGAACACAAACAGATTGAAAGAGAATAGTACAAGTGCATACACACACATAATTTGGCATAGAAATATATTGAACTCAAGAGGACTACAGATAGGAACAGAAAGAGGGGGAAAAGGGGTAGATTCACAAAGGGATTAGTCATAAGCACAAAAATCCCAAATTTAGGAGATAATGAAGAGAAAGTGAAAAGTAAAAAAAAAAGTAACAAAATAAACAGAATGAGAAGTATATGATTTCATCTGTACAAGATGAGGGTAAGGCATGGTTAAATTGCTTTTTATTTGAAGAAAATCTGAGTATTTTAGTGGATTGAAAGCTCAATATGAGTCAACAGTGGGATATGGTAATCAAACAAGCTACTCTTATGTTGGTTGCATTAAGAAAGGCTTCTAGGGATAATAAGAAGGTGATAATTTTGCTGTTCTCTGCTCTTGTTAGACCACATCTGGAGTACTATTTATTTCTGAACTACAAGGTTTAGGAAGCAAGCTGCAAAGCATTCAGATGAGGGAATCAAGGATGGTAAAGGGGCTTTGAGTCCAGACTGTACAAAGAGAGGTTAAAAACGCTAGAGATGCTTAGCCTGGGAAGGATGGTTTAGAGAACAGGATGATGGTGGGGGACGTGATAGCAGCTTCAAGTAGTTGAAAGGTTGTCATATGTAAGAGGGATTAGATTTTGTTGTTGTTGTTGTACAGAATTGAAAGGAGGAAAATAAGAACTAAAAAACAAACAAAACTCCCCAAACAACTTTCTAGCGATTAGGGCCACACAAAAGCAGATCAGGAAGTAGTGTGGTGATCAGCATTGGAGATCTTTAAGCAAAGGCTAGATGACCACTTGGGTGTGAATTTGACTAGATGGACATTGTGGTCCCTTTCTACTCTGAAATTGTGTGATTCATTCAATAGTTAAGTCATTCAGAAAAGATAGCTGGCTTTTCTTAAATACTTCCAGTGATGGAAGCTAAGAAACTTCACCTAGGAAGTCTTTCCTTGATTCCTTTTACTCCATTATTCTAATGGTGCTAGGCTTTAACCAATCTCTGTCTCTCTCTCTTTGTCTCTCTCTCTGTCTCTCTCTCTCTTGATATATATATATGTATATATATATTTATACACACATATACATACATACACATATATATACATACACACACACATATAGATATATACACCCTCCACTGATGTAGGTAATCCTGTTTCCTTACTTTGTAAAAATAACCATTTTCCTTTCATCTAATCAATATAATGGCAGATAATAAGATAATAAGAGCTAACATTTACATAATGTTTATTATATGCCAGGCATTGTGCTAGGCACTTTACAATTTTTACTTTATTTGATCCTCACAACAACTCTGGGTGGTAGGTGTTGTTACAATTCTCGTTTTACACATAGGAAAATTAAGGCAGATAGCAGTTAGAAGGCTTGCCCAGGGTCACAAAGCTGGTAATTGTCTAAGGCCTGATTTAAACTCAGGTCTTCTTGACCCCAGACACCATGTTCTAGCTACTGTGCCACTTTTCTTCCTTATTTTAATTTAAGCCTATTTCTTCTTGTTCAGTCATCTACAAACAATGACATCTGGCTCCATTCCTCCTTTTAAAAATCCTTTTATATGAACTTACTCCTGAAATACTCTTCTGCTGCAGAAGGAAAGTATGTGGCTGTATCAGTATGGCTGAGCTCATCTGTTTATCATACCTACTGGGCAGCCTCATTGCTGAAAACTACACTACGCTTCACTAAATGGAGGTGGCATTTGGGAATGACAACCAAACTTTGCATGCCAAGGAATTGCTTTGGCAGGGTTCACAAAATGTAGTGGTCTTTACTATTTCATAAATATTATTTTATACAGTAGTGTCCCCAAAGGATGTGGAGGATTTGGAGATGATCCAGAGGAGGGCAGCAAAAAAGGCTGGAAAACAGGATCAAGGTAGAAAGGTTAAATAAATCGGAATTATTTAGCTTAGAGAAGAGGAGGCAGATGGATGACTTGCCAGTCCTAACACACATCCAGGAAAATACCTGAGTAAACAGGTGAGGCTTTCAATGACCTCCTCCCTCAGTGGGAAGGCAAATTTCAGAGAGATCAGAGGGAATAGTTAGGTCTGATTTATCTCAATAGCCAGAGGTGATTTGTGAGGAACTTTTGCCAAAGCACTGGGATGATTTATGGATTGCTTCTTCTGGCTGTGCCCTTGAACATTTGAACTTCGGTACTCTATGCCAATAGTGCCATTTGCTAGTCTTGAAGGATGTCTTTCCTCTCTGCTGTGCTGACCTAGCTGGCCTAGCTGTGGAACTCCTGGTAATGGGTGTGGCCAGGTTGTGCTGAGGGTAAAACCTGGCCATGATTTTTGCATGCATTTCTCTTGGGGAGTCCCCTGTAGCTTACCCAACATGCCTTAAGGTGAACAAAAAAAAGCCTGTGTTTATACCACAGATTTCCTTGCTACCACACTGAGGATTAGGAATCACAAATGAAAAAAGTAAGTAGAAAACCAGGAAGGACATAAGCAGAAAGGGAAACTATTCCTAGAATAGTTTGAATAGAATGTACCTACAATAGAATAAACACTGCATTTTAAAAAAATAATATTTTATTTTTTCCACAATTACATGTAAAAACAATTTTGAACATTCATTGTTTTTTTTAAAAAGTTTTGAATTCCAAATTCTATCCCTTACTTCCTCCTTTCCCTCCCCCTTCCATGAAATGGTAAGCAATCTGATATGGGTTATACATGTGCACTCATGTAAAACATTTCCATAGTAGTCATTGAAGATTCAAACAAAAAAAGAAAGAAAGGAAGGAAGCAAGGAAGAACAAAAGAAAGAAGAAAATGCTTCAGTCTGTATTTAGACAATATCTGTTCTTTCTCTGGAGGCGTATAGCATGTTTCATCATGAGTCCTTTGGCATTATCTTGGATTACTGCATTGCTGAGAATAGCTAAGTCATACACAATTCTTCATCATACAATATTGCTGTTACTGTGTAAAATGTTCTTCTGGTTCTGCTTACCTCACTTTGCAACACTTCATATAAGTTTTTCCAAGTTTTTCTGAAATCATCCTGCTTGTCATTTCTTAAAGCACAATAAAATTTCATCACAATCATATACTACAACTTGATAAACACTGCATTTTGAGCCAAAGAACCACAGTTTGAATTCTGGCTCTTCCATGCAGCATTTTAAGACCTGAGGCAAATCATTCAATCATTCTTTGGCTGTGAAATGAGGAGATAAGACTAGATGATATTTAGGATCCCTTCTACCTCTAAATCTATTATCCATTATCCTATGATGATCCTCACTAAGCTATAAGGCAACCAAAATAATTAGATTGACAATGTAGTAGCTTCAGCATTTTGTATATAGAAATCCATCCTAATTACAGTAGTATTAAAATGCATTTATAATGTTTATGTATAATCAAATTCTAGGCTTACATTTTGTGAATTCTGATAGTAGCTCAAATCTGAAATTTCTTCCCTCCTTCCATATTTCTTTTGGTAGGTAAGAAAAGAAGTAAAAATAGCATAACTGACTCAGAGTTAAGATGACCCTGGGTTCACGTCCCACATCTGATACATACTGGTTGTGAAACTCTGGGCAATTTACTTAATTTCTGCACCAGGCAATTCTTTAAGACTCTATATTGTAGAAAGTAGTTATCTGCATTGGTATATGAAGGTTCCTCAGCAGGAATTTCTTATTACTAATGACCTCATAAATCTGGTCAAATAAAAATGAGAAAAAATATTCTGGAAATTGATGGGGAGACAGTTATTTTTCCCTACTGAGCCCCTATTTGATTTGTCAAAATATTCTGAAATAACTTACTCTATTTTTACTTTTTAGAAGTGGTATG